GTTATCAGGTCTCTACATTGTTGATAGTTGGTCTGAAAGCTGTGAAACATCAGCCCTGGGAGAACATTATGCAGTAAGTTATACAGAGGATTGTAGCATGGTAATTACGAGCAGAAGCTAGAGGCTGGCTCTTGGGGTTCAAACCTCAGCCCCCCAGTTCTATGATCCTGGGCACGTGAATGCGACTTCTCTGGACTCCCAAGTTACTTATATGTAAATTGAACGTATTAACAGTGCCACCTCAGGGTTGTTGTAAGGATGAAATGAGTTCGTGCATACTTGGCACATGGTGTTAGTCTCCAACATCATCAGAATCTCTGAATAATAGTGGCGTTGTGTCTGAGTGATGGATAATGACGTCAGGTCCTGAGATTGACCCACAAAGGCCTAAAAAACTACAACAATGGGATGCAAATGAAGCACAAGCAACTTTTAACACTTGTCAAAACACTACAGGTTCGATGTCGGTGTGCATTAAGTTCCATAACTCCATAAAAAACGTGTTCGCTAACAGTTTCCCCCAATATGAAATAAATACCAAGTATATTAGTAGAGGCCGGGGGTGGGGGAGGAGGAGATTCTAGAGTCTCTGAGAGAGACCATCACCACACTAAAGGAATAAATGGGCAGGACTCCACCTTCCCACCTGACAGGTGTTTTGTCTGAATGTAGAGTTAGGAGGTGGGAGGCATTTTCCTTCAGCCTGTTAAAGGTGTCGAGTCCCAGTGAGAAACCCAAGAGCATTCTGATATGTGATCTTTTGTATGTGATGTATTCCCCCACCCGCCCCCGACCCCCTGAAAGCTTGTAGGAATGGGTGTGGTCTCCTCTCGGTCCCCAGTGTGCTCTGATGTTTCTCTGGATGGGAACAGTCGTCTGCCTGGATGGGTCTCTATGCATTCGTTCTGCTGGGAGACGAGTGGGCTCTTCCAACCCAAGAAATCACGGCCTTGGTGTCTGAGAGATGCTCTCGAACACATCTGCTGGTAATGGCCTCTGCCTCGTTTCCTCCACCCCTTCCGTTGAATTGTGATCATGCTTTTAATCCCCAGGAAAGGTTTTTGTTCTCTGCACATTCTTTTTTACGGCTCTTGCTTTTTCACAAGCGCAGTATCTTATCTTTCCAAGGATGATAATGTTTCTGCTGGTTTTCTTCCTCCTGTGTACCGTTTCCTCCAAGTTGATTTTTCTGTATTTGTTGGCTGTCTCTCTTTTCCAAATGACCACAGCCGAATGAGCATGTCTTTCTAATCACCACAGGATTCCGCTTGTGTGTCCCTACTTTTTGGAGCCTTCTCTGGCCTTCCAGGACATCCCATGCCGCAGCGCTCCTCACGCTGCCTCTCAAGCATTTGTTTCTTTGTGTCCCCTCACCTACTAGTTGGACAAGTCATTTGTCTCTGAACCTCTGCATTTTCTCCCCATAAATGGGACCAGTACTGCCTACCCTGCCCTGGCACCAAGATTACAGACTACAATACACGTGACTGTCATTGAGGGTGCTGGGTCAGTATTACTTGTCCCCCTCCCTGCCCCCTGGCTGTGGGCCCCTTCGAGGCAGAGAGGCCTCGGCAGGCGTGTTCTCCAGCATTAGGCTCACTGCTCAAGTACGCGCCCATCTGCTTCATGAAGTTCATAAACAGTCTCCCGCCCCAAAGGTGACCATCAGTTTTAATCTGGAAATGAAGGCTCAGCCCGTTGTGTGCCTGATCTACTTCTGCCAAAGCCTGTTAGGCCTTTCTCGTTCTGGAAACTCATTCAGTTTTGTCACTGGCCAGGCCCTGGCTCTCCGTGGCTTCTCTGTCATATGGCTGCTAAATGCTTCAGTGTCATCCCCGTGGCTGCTGGTCCCATCTGTACTGGATCAGAGTTTTCATAGTTTTCACCTGTTAAATATGAATTCCATTTCTGCTGACTTTTGATTCTTATGACAAGCTTCTCAGCTTACATTTCATTGCAACAGACACAAAATGTGTCCAGAGTTGCAGCTTCCCTTTAATTATTCTGATGTCACCATCAATAGGTAAGATTACTGTATTTAAAAACAGTAGCTCTGTTTTTAAGAGAGTGGGGAGGAGTGTTGGGTTTGGGGTGGAAGTAATACTGTTGTGCAGCACGAACTTTGTGTAAAACCGAAGACAGCTTTCCTGGCAGTGTTTGCAAACGCTCTGTTTGCACATTTAGAGGAAGGAGCAGAGGCTCCTAGCTCCTCTTCCGCGCAGCATGGACTTGTCACCCATTTTCACGTGCCACATTCTTTCAAGTCCAGGGTTTCTGTGCCTTTGGCATTGTTAGGAAAGATCTCTGGTTAAACCTATGTAGTGTGCAAAGTACTCGGAGTGTGTTTGATTTAATTCACTAAAATAACGTCGTCCTCAGTTTCTTTACCATTGTTATGCTTTGGTTCTTCCCGTTTTAAATGTGTCTTGTACGCATTTTCTGTACTTCGTTAGCATGTTAATCATTATGCAGATGGTAATGATTAATCTATTTCAGTGAAATCCTGGTGCCAGATGAAGGTACAGAGGACTTTGTAGCATTCTCTTTGTGTATTTTGAAATGTTATTTTAAATTCTAACCCAACAGATTAAGCTGAAAGCATTCTAAATATTGACTATAATATCTGTAAAGTATACAGAAAAGTATAAATCTGACAAAGCAGTGTGTTAGAATTGGTGGAAAAGAGAAAAAATTCATTGAGAGATGTCTTATCTACCACATAAATGGCACTCTTTTGACAAAAACTCTTTTACCTTTAAATCACTCAGTGAAATCTCATTAGGCTTAATTTAGTAAAAGGAAATGTAGATAGATTTCTATAAGATGCCATTACTAAGCGTATTGAGTGACAATCTGAGAGGGTTTTACAGTACAATAAATTAAGATTGATTACAGGAAGATAATAGTAGCAATATTTATCTGGACCCTTTGAGTGAAATATAAGTTCCGAGTGTGAAAATTCAAGTCCAGTTGCATTTGTTTGTTTTCTTGATTATCTGATCCTCAGCACAGAAAGCTGTTTTGCTAGTTGGGACAGTATCAAGTTGTTATTTAATATTTGATTTCAGCAGATATTTACCAAGTTCCAAGAAACTCTATTTATCATGGTGTTTCAGATACAGTGACACCCTTAGGAGCCATCAGTTAAGGGATTTCTCCTTAGTCTTATTCCAATCAGATGATGAAACTTCTTTACTGTCTCCAAAGTACCTAATTAATTTTGTCACAGAACATTTTCCAAGTTCTCTTTCTGCTGCTTCTAAGGGAGAGAGTAGAGCTGAGAAGTCATCCATGCCTTTCCCCAGCAGTCTGCATGGAATGCCTGTTGTGTGCCTGTCCCGTGCCCGGGCAGTGGGCACCTCGAGATGTTGCCATGCATCACCCCTGCCCCCACACTCCCACCAACTCAGTACCTTCTTTGCTATTATACTTAGGGTTTTTTTTTTCCTTTTGCATGCTTTGTTTTTAGGTCATTAAGATGATTATAATTCACTCTGCAAATTTCTGGCCACTTTCCCAGGGTAGAGTCACTCTGACTTCTGTTCTATATAACCTTACATTTTTGTTGTCTTTGGAACGCTGACTGCATGCCATTTGCCATCCAGGTGCTAATGCTGAGCCCAGGTGAGTTGTCACAGACCTTCACTTAGTTACTGGTGGGGTAACTAACTTCAAGAGTAAACCTTCTACTCCAGGCTTAGCCACGCACACGTTAGTAATAGAAATCGATCAGCTGCTGCATAGTAGGGATTGTACTAGAAGTAAGGTTACAAAGGTTAGTGAAACACAGTCCCCATCTTCAAGAAACACACAATACACAGTCCAGTGGGAGACACATAAAAAGTTCCAGCACTGGGTACAGTTGGGGCTCTGTCAGAACTGGGCCCGGAGTCTGGGTGCTGTGGGAACCAGAAGAGAGTGCATCCCACTTCCTTGTCTTCACAAAGTCAGAGCTCATCAGCCACCAGAACTCATTTGAGCCTGAAATTCCAAAACGGAAAATGCCTTAGTGTTAGTTTGTCGATTGATGTTAAAATTCTTCCAGTGTTTTCACCTGCCCTGTGTTTAAAGTAAATAAATAAATACTAAGAGAATTCTCTTCCTTTTTTTCCTTCTCTTTTTTCTTTATTTCTCTCTCTTTTCTTTCCTTCCTTCCTACCCTCCTTTCTTTTCTATTTCTTTTTAAAAATATGGTTTATACTTTTCCTAAAAATATGGTTTATACTTTTCCTTTCTTTTCTATTTCTTTTTAAAAATATGGTTTATACCTTTCCTGCTTCATAGTTCTGAAAGGAATATTTTTATGGATAAATGCTCAATTACTGAGACTTAAAAATAGAATTTCAGTAGTTTGAATCGGAGTTTCCGATATGCAGGAGGCAGCTCTGACATTTGAAAGTGTTTCCAGAAACTGCTCGGGTCTCAGGTTGAGGCAGGGGTGACAGGGCTGTACAGGACAACAGTCTTTGCCGGAACGAGGGACGGGAGCTGTACCTTTTCTCGACGCCCTTCGCTCTCCATCATCTCGGCCTCTGTGCGGCACTCTTTGTGCTGGGAAACTGGAGACCTGTTTAAGTTCCATTTGTACCCTCTAGTTATTTCTCAAGCCATTTTCTCTTGCCTCTTTGTCACCGCCGCCTCCCGCCTGTCTGGGAGCTGCTGAGAAAAGAGATCACTTGTCACATTTCTTTATCCCTCCAGGGCACTTGGGCATGGGACACAGTAACTGGCACCTGGTTTGCTCTTCAACTTGAACTGGGCAATGGCATGTTGTGCGGATATTAGGTGAAGAGGTGGTGACTTCCTGTGATATTTCTGCTCCCTGAGCAGAAGTGACAGTGATGGGGGAGAGCACTGGTGACAGAGCATGCCTGGAGTTGCAGGGCAGGCGGGTGGGCATGTGCCCATGTGGCTCTGCTCTCTACCGCGGGGATACATTCAAAGGGAGCCGTCCCTTATCTGCTCCAGCTGGAAGCAGCAAGGGGCCGGTGTGATCAGCGATGGGGAAGGCCGGCCCTGCGGCCGGAGTTCGGGACGGTGCCGCCTCCTCTGCGGAGGACTTCGGTCTTGTTCGTGTCTCCATCCACAATGGGACCGCCACTTCTCTGACTAAACCTCAGGTATGCTTTAAGAGCAACCAGAAAGTCAAGTGGGAAGGTCTCAAAACATTCTAACTCCCTGAATGCAATGACAAGGAAACTGACCTCTGTCTGTTAGTCAGAGATCAGTGTCCCCTGCTCTGATGCCCCTGGCTGGACGAGAGAATATTTGCAGGACTAGAAGGCAAGTGTATTGCCTGCGTGTCCCATCACAGTGCTGACAGTACTCCAAGAAAAGCGGAAGTGGTCACAGTGCTCTGATGTCACCGCCGCCTCCCACCTGTCTGATGGCACTTAGCCTGAGCTTCATGGGCAGTGATTGCAGGTTTGAACCTCTTGTTCATGATGAAAAGTATTTGAAGTGATGGTTGCTCATTATCTTGCTTGCCGTTTGAAGAAATCCTCCTTCAGATATAATGTGGAATAAAATATGTGGAAAAAATGCAGATTCACAGCTGTATTTACACTTAGAGATTAGAGATAAAGACTAAGTCCTTGAAAAGTTATCAGTTCTCTTTGTCTTTGTGTGTTATTGTCAACTATGGTAATTTATTGTCAAAACTGAGTGTAAGATATGAAATTCACAAAGTACCCATTTTTCTCAATGCAGCTGAGACAGCCCTCCATCTTTGCACTAAATGGTGCTGTTTGCTTTAAGAAAACTGAAATATGCAAAGTGTTCTTACGCAGGCGCATTTGACGGGTTTGCTTTAGGGTCGTGTTCTCACTTGGCCCATGAGCCTGGCGTTCTGTGCTCGTGACCTTTTGGAAGCCGCCTTACAGTGAGCCCTGCCGCTGGTGACACGGTCTGGTCCTCTCTGTGATGTGGCCATTTCGGATGGAAGACAGTCTGGAAGCTAGACGTCAGCTTATCAGCCCCCCGCGGCATTCTCACCCGCCCTCCTGCGGCGCCCTCACCCAGTCATTCCACCCTCACCCGACCTCCTGCGGCGCCCTCACCCAGTCATGCCACCCTCACCCGACCTCCTGCGGCGCCCTCACGCGGTCCTTCCTTTGGTGCCCTCACGCGCTCGTCCAGCCGCGCCCTCACCCTGTCCTTCCGTTGCACCCTCACCCGGTGGTTCCGCAGCGCCCTCACACTGTCCTTTCTCTGCTGCCATCACGTGGTCGTCCCGCTGCAACCTCACCCGACCTCCCACGGCGCCTGCAGCTGGTCCTCCTGCTGTGCCCTCATGCAGTCCTCTCGAAGTCCCCTCACCCTGTCCTTCCTCTGGTGCCCTCATGCGGTTCTCCCCCACCCCCGCCACTCCCACACCTGGCCCTCCCGTTGTGCTTGCGCATCACTGGTCTTTTTGTGAGTCCCAGTTTCTCCTTCTTACAGGGATGCCAGTCAGCTTGGATTAGGGCCCACTCTGAAGACCTCATTTCGTGTATCTGTGCCCTCACGCGGTCCTCCCGAGGTCCCCACATCCTGTCCTTCCTCTGGTGCCCTCACCCGGTCCTCCCACTGCGCCCTTACCCGGTCACTCCACCCTCAGCGACCTCCTGCTGCTCCCTGAGCCGGTCCTCCCACCGCGCCCTCACACGCTCCTCCCGAGGTCCCCTCACCCTGTCCTTCCTCTGGTGCCCTCACCCGGTCCTCCCGCCACGCCCTCTCCTCCCGCCACGCCCTCTCCCGTCCTCCCACTGGGCCGTCTCTCAGTCCTCCCGTTGCGCCCTCATCCTGTCATTCCGCCCTCACCAGACCTCCCGCCGCACCCTCAGCAGGTTCTCCTGTGCCCTCACGCGGTCCTCCCGAGGTCCCCACACCCTGTCCTTCCTCTGGTGCCCTCATGTGGTTCTCCCCCACCCCCGCCACTCCCACACCTGGCCCTCCCGTTGTGCTTGCGCATCACTGGTCTTTTTGTGAGTCCCAGTTTCTCCTTCTTACAGGGATGCCAGTCAGCTTGGATTAGGGCCCACTCTGAAGACCTCATTTCGTGTATCACCTCTTTATTATTTACCGAGGTGGCTATATTCTAAGGTCCTGGGATGAGGGCTCCAGTACATGAATTTGGGGGGACACAGTCCAGCCCATCAAAGCATCCGCGTGGAAAATGGTCTTTCGT